CGAGTTGTCTCATAAATGTTAACCAATTGCGGGACCAATGATGCCTTCAAAGCACTCTTAATTAGTTGTGATTTTTGGATCTTATAGTCGTTGTAGAGAATCAGTTGTAACAGCATTAGAGCACTGGTAGTCGACAACTGTTCCCAGAGTCGGGGAAAGGCTTTCCCTTTAAACTCGTTTAGTTTGATAGAGTAGTCGTCTAGTAATACAAACGAGAATTAGTTTATAAAAATAAAATTTCTTTGTATTTACCGTTAATATTCAATTCATGCTTCAATTCTTGAAACTTTGACTCGACTTTAGCGTTACTAAAGTCATCCAGATTTGTTTGGATCTTATCCTTATTTGACTTTATTAGATCATTGATGGGAAAGGGGTCTCTTTTTATGTAAATCATTATATAATTATTATGTAAAAATTGCTTTAGTTTTATATACGAGATTTATTTTTAATAGTTATTTAGCTTTTTTATTAGTTGAAAAACTTTGTCTATTAATTTTTGGTGAAAAATTGATTCTGATTCTGGTTTTTATACGTAATATTTTATAGGTGTTCCTATTCTTAATTTTGGTAGACGTGCCCCTATTCTGACGTTAACCAATCCAGATCATAGCTGTCCCACAAATTCAATGTGTGATGTAATGATATTTATATTACATGTAATAAGCTCATGCATTATTCTGTATGAAATGACTGAGTGACTGTCACTGATTTCTGAAATCTTCACTGTTTTCGGTTTGCAATCCCTGTCCTCTCACCGATCTTTGGGTGCTTTGGAAGGTCTTACGAAATGATTGCATATATTGTGTCCAAAAGTGCTAATTTAATAAATAGGGTAAGTATTTATAAGGTTTCATTCCAATAAAGTTTGATTTGAGTATTTGAGATAATATATGAATATCTGCACTTAAATAAATGAGATATTGTGTTACATTAAATGACATGAATCCAATTTTGGTTCTGTGAATCATATTCAAAAAGTTATTAAATGTGATAGGTATATTCAATTTAAAGACAACAGTTTTGCTTTGAATACTTAGTAATCTAAATCACAAATTAAAAGCTTACGCATACAGTATAAAAATAAGCTTACTTTCATCATACTAATATATTATACTTAGTCATAGATAATTCAATAATTATTTTTATACTGTATGCGTAAGCTTTTAATTTGTGATTTAGATCTCCATTACTAAGTATTCAAAGCAAAACTGTTGTCTTTAAATTGAATATACCTATCACAAATCATAAAATGTTGTTTTTAAAAACATTATATATCATTGACTACGTGCTGATATGTTACCAGTGTACACGTGTATTGATTGATATAAGCAAATTTGAATTCATTAGTTTCAAGTTTAGACTTTTCTTAAATCGTAAAAAGTGATAATAAATGCCGGATAAAATTACTAGATTATAAACCATGAGAAAGTGAAGTGATCTTGGCTTCAATTAAACAAATATTTGTGAATCTTTTTTAACATAAAGTTTACATAATTAAAGCAAAATATATGCAACTTATAATTTGTCACAAATAGATTTCCTATTTATTAGGAATTAATTTATGAAAATAAAAATTCTGATTAGGGGCCATTCAATAAGTACGTACACAAAAATTTGTCTAAAAATTGACCCCCCCCCTCCCCCCGAAACGCCCCTCGTACATAGGACTTTAACATTGTGCACGCACGCCTTGG